GGTCGGCAAAGCTTTCTGAGCTGGTTTTTATTGGCCCACGGCCATAGCCAACGCAGAAGACCTCATCCAACATTGTGAAGGATGGCAATTTTTTGCCAAGCAAATACACGTGCCGGTGCAGGAATTGCAGACCATCCTAGCTTCTTGACCTTTTGCATGCTGGGGACTCGACATGATTGGGCCTTTCAAGCCTACGCCAGGTGGTTTTCGGTATGTATACATCGCCATTGACAAGTTCTCCAAGTGGATCGAATACAAGCCACTTGTTTCGGCCACTACAAAGAAGGCAGTTGAGCTCTTCGAAGATATCATCCATAGATTCGGTCTCCCGAACAGCATTATCACCGACCTCGGAACTACATTCACTGGTCACCATTTTTGAGACTTCTACGAAGACCGATGCATCCCCATCAAATATGTCTCTGTTGCCCATCCTAGAGCCAATGTCTAGGTCGAACGGGCGAACGGCATGATCCTCGATGCCCTCAAAAAGAGACTATACCAAAAAGAGGAAAAGCATCTGGGCAGATGGTTCAAAGAGCTCCCAGCTGTGGTCTGGGGACTGTGCACTCAAGCTAGTCACAACACCGGTGTATCTCCATATTTTTGGACTACGGCTCAGAGGCCATACTTCCTGCGAACATTGCCTTTCGAGCACCTAGGGTAGAGCATTATAATGAAGAGCAAGCCGCAGCTATTCGGACAGAGGACGTCGATAGAGCCGAAGAAGAACGCCTGATCACTTGCATCCGCACAGCCAAATACTTAGAAGGCCTACGAAAATACTACAATCGCAATATCAAAGGTCGTTCATTTGCGGTTGGCGACCTCATTCTTCGTCGAAAGCAGAAAACCGAAGGGATGCACAAGCTCTCCTTCCCCTATGAAGGGTCTTACGTGGTCAAAGAGATTATCCGACCAGGGTCTTACCAGCTATGTGACATGGAGGGAATCAATATCCCCAATTCATGGCACATCGAGCACCTTATACGTTTCAATCCTTGAAACACTCTAGATATGTACTCTCCACTCCATAATGAATAAAGTTTTCATCGCCATAAATTGTCTCCATTATTTCTCCACTCCAGTTTAATCTCCATTTACGATTACCAGCTCCAAGCTACTCCTTAACAAACTCCGATAATTATACGTGATCTCCATAAATGCTTCATCCTGTTTCTCCATACTAAAATATCTTTAAGATATTCCACCAACGATTGAGCAGCAAACGTTCCGCTCTATGTTCTTTGCAGAAAACCCTGTCTTCGATCTCTCCCTACACGTGCTACGGGCTCCAGCGCTCTGCGTTCTGGGTGGTCGGCGGTGGTTCCTCGGTCTAGTCTGTCTCTCCTACACGTGCATGGGCTCTAGCGCTCGACGTTATGGAATACAGGCTAGCCAAGGCCAAGAGCCCAGTAACGAACTAACTGCTCGGACGCTACTTATACCATGTATAAACATGTTAGGGTTAACAACACGTCTCTTTTTCATCACAAGCGCTAGCAAGCCGCCTGAACACGCATATGTCGTCTACTTACAGCATTCATACAAATACACAAATGTTTGCTTAGGCCCTCGTGCATCTAACTCCCCTTTCTAGTTGTTCCACACAGGTTCCTCCCCACTCAGGCTATTGAGCTTGGCCGTCACCGTCTACCTCGTCGAACAGATCGACATCGCCGGCCAGCCTCTTCGCCGCGTCCTCTACCTCATCTTCAGTTGCTCCTCTTTCATCGCACTCGTCCCTCTAGCGAATCTAGCCCCTATCGCTCGAAGATAGATCATAGGGTAGTGGGACCGGACCACTGCCAGGGCATGCATCATGACGGAGACAGCGGCATCTTAGTTGAAGCCTTTGAAGTTTTCCCATGCCGTATTGCACCTGTCAATGATGGCGTCCGGACGAGGCGACCTATCGTCGGGCTGACGAGATACCTCCATATCGATACAGTCGAGCACCGGCCTGACTCCGGCTACCACGGCGTCAAATTTTCCCCTCTTGACTTTTCGCATTCAAGGGTTTTTGGGAAACCGCACCATGCTGATATGCGCCCTTCCGAATTCCCTAAAGCACCATGCTGGGTCGTTATCTGGGCTTCGGCGCAACTATGGCCCATATCGCCCATTTTTCGATGCAACTCGGTACTGCACACCGAATATTCGCCGACCCCTCTACAATACCATCAAGGCTCAGTAATTTCTATTGTACAATCATTACTCTGCTTTTTTCTCTACGATTTGACTAATCGGCACTTCTTGATTTATTCGAGATTTCTACCTATGGCTCGGGGACTACGTCATCATTATGATTTGGTTTCTGACCATACTGAGGACTTTTTTTCTAGTTACTATTGTTTCTGACCCTGGCACCATGTGATCACGTCACCTACTGTCAGGCTCGGTGACTAATTGGGCACACTTCACCTTACGGTGAATGTGTGCTTTTCATTTCAGGGCTCAGCTCGTGGACTGGTTGCCTGTTCGGCTGGTCTTCTGTCTTTCTTCTACTTTCTGGACCCTGGCACCACGTGACCACGTCACCTACTGTCAGGCTCGGGTACTAAGTGGGCACACTTCACCTTGCGGTGAGTGTGTTTTCTTTAATCAATTCATTGGAAGACTCTGTGCCTCCCAAAGTTGAAGAAGATTATCTCCCATTCTCGTGGTCGGACTCTAAGTGGCCACACTTGGTTCACAGCGAGGAAATTTTGATTTTGAACTTGAGCTCCTTACATTCTTTTGGCAAGCCTTACTTGGGTAAGCCCGGGCTCAGCCGGACAGCTAAGCTGGTCGATTACGGTCCACAACTGCTCGATGACTCATTAGGGTGGTTGGACTATGAGTCTGACTGCTCGGCTTTGTTTACACCTGCTCGGATAAGTTTAAGACGGCGTTGCATAGTGGATACAAGGTGCTCTGAGACTAGCTGTGGGGGGTATGACCCGGGATACCCACGGCAGACTACATGGGCTGACGCTGCCAGGGGTGATCCAGCCCATAAGACGAAGACTTACGGTGCACGGTGCTGCTCAGCGTGTACTGCAAGACATCAAGGGCGATATCCTGAAGATGCTACAAGATTTATTAGGATATGCTCGATCCTGTGATTCATGTAACCTGTTCTTACTTACCGGTTATCTCTAAGATCTAACCGACTTGTAACCCTACCCCTCGCTATATAAGGCGGGTAGGGGACCCCCTCAAAACAAACGCAACATCATACGATAGCCAATACAAACTAACAGATCACAGGAGTAGGGTATTACATCGTGCAGACGACCCAAACCTGTCTAACTCTTGTGTCTCTGTTGCCTTCTTGTTATTGATTACGCGCACCTCTGCCTATCAATCTACCTTCGTGGGATAGCCTTCGAAGGATTGCTGACGATATTCTGTCGACAATATACCTCTGTTATATTCATTTACATTCATTCTTGATCCTAGAGCTAAGATGAGAAGTTTATTTAGAGTCCTGGAATTACTTAAAGGGAGCACTGGTTATGATTATACTTTATATTATGCTAATGTGAAAGCTGAAATTTACTTGTTATTTAACAAATACGAGAAAAAGTTTGGTGCAGCTATAACTCAAAGGGCTGCACAGTCTACAAGCCATATAGGTAAGAAAAAACAGGTATCGGGAAGAATCTTTCGAGGCCCTAAATCTGTTGTTGGTCCTTCCCCTGTCTATGCCTCCACTTTATCTTCATCTGCTTCTACTGCTAGTGAGCTCTCAGTTTATCTGAACAGTAACAATGTCACTGCATATGAGGATGATTTTGATTTACTTCTCTGGTGGCGTGAGCACAAACCAACCTATCCAATCCTATCTATAATGGCTAGAGATATTATGTTTGTTCCTGTTTCTACTGTCTCTTCGGAATCATGTTTCAACTTGACAGGAAGGACAATTGAAGAGCGGCGACGCCGCCTGTTGCCTGAAACTATAAAGATGCTGGCCTGCATAAAGGATTGGGGGTTGGGAGAAAGAAGATTACAGCATGCTGTTGACAACCCAGGGCTAGAGGGCTCCTTCAAGAATTTGTACCTTGATGAAGATGCAGATAGGGTTGCTGGTACTACTGGTTCATCTAGGGCTAGGGCTGGTTCATCTAGGGCCGGTACATTTAGGACTGCTGGTAATTAGTGTTGAGAGAGGAGAGAGTGCAGTGTTAATCTGTTATCTCCATTTTGTATCTATCATTTATGACTGTGACTTGAGACCTTTGAACAATGATGGAAGACTTATTAAGAGCTGTGTTGTACTATTTTTCTCTTTCTAGGGTTTCTCACAAGGACGATTTTTACCTAGAAAGATTTTTAATGAGGCAGCATTGCATAAACAGCTCATTTATCTTTTAAATTCTCCTCTGTGGCTCTGTTTCTTATTTTGTTGGATTTGAGATTGCCTGAGTTTTGACTTAGAAGTTAGAACAGTTGAGTGTTTTGATAGATTGTGCTTTTGTTTGAGTTGTGACTTGTGAAATTTAATAAGTGTTTGATGAGTAAATCTTTTTTAGGGGTTTTGAGGTCACCAGGCTGTGGGTTGTCACGTCACGCAATTTTGACCATATTTAACGGACCGACACGACATGAATTGCGGTCCGTAGTGTTGTGCTTGGGCCGAAGGACAGGCTCGGACCCGGAGAGACACGGCCCGGAAGACACGGTGTGCCCTGGTGGCCCAACACTGTTCACTGAGCTACTGCCAGCATGGCCGCTGCCCGCTGCAGTCGCGTGCACGCTTCCCAAGAGCCAAGACCAGAGCTCCCATTTACTGCGCCATGCGAGCAATGGCAGCAGGGAGCCCGGCGTCGCATTTACTCCCTGCCCAATCCACCCACCAACTAACCCAAACCTCCATCCATCCCTCCTCTATATACACACACGCCACAGCAGGGCCACGCCGCAGCAGCCTGCACGCACTCACTGACCGTGCTCAGCCTTCTGCTCCGGAAGCTAGCTAGCTCTCCAGCCAGACACCACCCCTCCACCCAACAATGGCGGCCGCCGTGGCCCTCCTTCTGCTCTCTGCCCTCAGTGGAGCGGCGGCGCAGGTGTTCCCGCCGTGGAACGGCACGTTCCCGATGGGGCCAGGGTTCGGAGGCGGGAGCAGCGGGGGCGGGGGCGCGGGCTCAGCGGCGGAGACGACGGGCGTGCCAGCGATGTTCGTGTTCGGGGACTCCCTGACGGACAACGGCAACAACAACGACCTGAACTCGCTTGCCAAGGCTAACTACCCGCCCTACGGCATCGACTTCGCCGGCGGGCCCACCGGCCGCTTCTCCAACGGCTACACCATGGTCGACGAGATTGGTACGTGCCTCCGCCGGTGCATGCATGCTATATTGCTGTGCTATCTCTTCTCTGACTTCTCTGGTCTCTGTTCATATCAAGCTGCTAGCTTCTTTTTAATTTAGATTTAGATGTGCTCTCAAACTAGTAGCCGTGCAGTGTTTCCACAGAGACTTTTACACTCTGTTCGTCTCTTAATTCCAACTGGGAGCTACTAGCTAGTTCAAGAACTTTGCACGATGCTACTGGCAACTGAAAAAAGAAGAAGAAAAAACTAAGGATCAGATGCACAATAATTTTCTTTCGAGACCCTGAAGACGCTCGTATACACGAGCATACACTCACCAATATGAAAACACAATAGTTCTATAAAGATTATAAATGTGTTTGGAAAGAGGCTATGGCAATTGGCAATTGCTCTTGGCATAATGAAAATAATTCATTCCAATCTTGGCATACGGGTTACTAGTAGAGCCATTGCAACATTTTTCGGGAGCAGATCAAGCAATGTTGTACAATACATACATATGCTCAATTAAATTTTACTAGACATGATAGTTCCAGGCTTCCAGCACATCTGAAATATCTATTCTCTGGTTATCTCAATGGAAAGAAACGGAGTAGAGTACAGCGAGCACTGTTCATTGTTCATTTACTCAACAAAGAAATTTTCACGACTCTAAACTTAGATTTCTTTTTCTAATTTGCTGTAGAATAGCATGCAGGTAGTTCAGTAATACATTTTTTAAAAGATTCAAATATTTTTCATGAAAGACTAGTTTAGTAGTGTACTCTATATATAGTACTTTTGAAGCAATTTCCTCAAAACGCATATATTCGAGGATAGATTGTTTGGGTATACACATTTTTCGGGGAAGCAGTAGGTAGGTACATACATCAATTCTACGAGTTTACAACTATTTGCAACCATACAATAGATATGCCAGATTCGTTCACTGCCTCAAATTCTAGGCCTCTCATCTGCTATACTCGAAGAAGCAATAGTGCAAGTGTGCAACTGATAGCGGAATGACACACTGAAGCCTACAGTTGCTTCAACCATAAATATGAAGCAATAGTGCAACTGTGCATCTAAGCACATGGAGACCTGGTGTAGTGTGTAGTACAAGTTCGTATGGTCCACACTGGTCTGGATTTAACTTTGCAACAACAAACACAAAGTCGCTCCACAGTCGACGACCTTGGCGCAGTAAATTGGCTCGACCGGCCAGACAGAGAGAGTGCTACGCTCTTCACTCTGTGAACAGTGGTAACATAATGCTGCGTGCTGCTGCCGCCCTTCGCCATTGATTCCCATCTCATGCGCGCGCTAGACACGGTATGTTGAATTCACCGGGTCATGTCTATCTGTACCGCTGCCGTGCATATATGGCATCAATGTTTCCATGTGACTCTACGGCAAAGTAGTACGACGGCGAAGCAGTGAATGCAGCATATACTACGTGCTAGAACATGGGGTCCTGACCGACGTTTCGTGCCCTCACCAAGAATCTACCAGCAACAGGCCGGGCTCTCGCGCAAGATCATAGTATTTATCACTGCAAATCAAAGAGCTGAATCCCCGTAATACGTAGTTCAACATGTACACAATTACAGCTAGCTAGTTAATAATAACCCAAGGAATTAGTTAAGAACTGATTTCGTGCGCCGTCGTCATCATCTTCAGCTCAACTGCTTGGCCTGCCGCTGCTGCCATCGCACACGGACGCCTCCAGCGGCGACGCGGCGCTCCACGGCGTGAACTACGCGTCGGCGGCGGCGGGGATCCTGGACAACACGGGGCAGAACTTCGTGGGTCGCATCCCGTTCAACCAGCAGATCAAGAACTTCGAGCAGACGCTGGACACGCTGAGCCGTCGGCTGGGCGGCGCGTCCAAGCTGGCGCCGTCGCTGGCGCGGAGCATCTTCTACGTGGGCATGGGCAGCAACGACTACCTCAACAACTACCTGATGCCCAACTACAACACCCGCAACGAGTACAACGGCGACCAGTACTCCACGCTGCTAGTGCAGCAGTACGCCAAGCAGCTGAACACGCTCTACAACCTGGGCGCGCGCAGGTTCGTCATCGCCGGCGTGGGCTCCATGGCGTGCATCCCCAACATGCGCGCGCGGAGCCCCGTCAACATGTGCTCGACCGACGTCGACGACCTCATCATCCCTTTCAACAACAAGGTGAAGGCCATGGTGAACAGCCTCAACACCAACCGCCCCGGTGCCAAGTTCATCTACGTCGACAACTACGCCATGATCTCCCAGATCCTCCGCAACCCATGGTCCTACGGTAGGTAACTATTTGTCCATCAGCAGCGGGCAGTCGCCGGGGTCTCATTCTTTGGTTGTCTCCTGCGTACGTACGTGCAGGGTTCAGCGTGACCGACCGCGGCTGCTGCGGCATCGGGAGGAACCGGGGGATGATCACCTGCCTGCCCTTCCTGCGCCCGTGCCTCAACCGGAACGCCTACATCTTCTGGGACGCCTTCCACCCGACGGAGCGGGTGAACGTGCTGCTCGGCACGGCAGCCTTCAACGGCGGCAACGACGTTGTCTACCCGATGAACATCCAGCAGCTCGCCGCATGGCAGCCGTAGACGTTTTTACGGCCTCCTGTCAAGCTGCTGTCGATCGGTGTGTGATTTTGCAGCGGCGGTAGTGTAAGGGTGTGGTGTACAAGCTAGATGTATGGTCATGAGTAGGAGGTGAGCGGAGTTATGGTACGGTGTGCCGTGTGCATGAGCGGAGTTATTATGGTACGGTGTGCGTCCAGTGTCCTGTTGTTTGTGGTCAAAATAGTGTCTCTCTGTTGTGTTTTGGTCTATCGGCCATCAGTGTTCGTTCGCTTAGTTTCTGTACGGTATCACGGAGATCAGCGGAGTTACTTTCCTGTGTGGGTTGTCTCCATCTTCGCCTATTTATTTAAAGAATCACCCGAAACCGTCCCAAACAGCATATACACGAATCGATGAAAACGTTTTTGCAGTGATTTTCATATGAACGTAAATCGATGAAAACGTGGTTTCGCAGCAATTCCGTTTCTATAGCCAAATGGTTTAGTGGTTTCGATTTGTCATCCAAAAACGTTTTCTGAGAGAATTTGGATATTAAATATTTCTGCAAGAATCTCTACCAAACAGGTCATTACATAAAAGCAGTACCTGCCTAGTGCGAGAATTTGGATCCCTGCCAAACACAGGTCCTTATATAAAAGTTGTACCTTCCTAATACTTCCTCTATCAAAAAAAAATACAGGTTACGTGTCAGTTAAAGTGGTTCACATTTAACTAAATTTCTAGTGAATGGTATTCATATTTATGGCTCCAAATTAAATTGTTATGAAAATATATTTTATAATTAATCTAATGATGTTTATTTGTATCATACACATTTATGTTTTTTTATCAATAATTGATTAAACTTAAGATACTAAAACATGACGTTGTGCTAAAATTGCATTCTTTTTGAGACGAAGGGAGTATCAGCCTGTTCGGCAGCTCGTATTTAGCTTATAAGTCTTGGCTTATCAGTCAACGAACAGTATTTTTCTCTCACACCAAACTAGTCAACAGTACTTTCAGCCATGACTTATAAGCCAATTCAGCCGAAACGAACAGGCTGTATATTTTTGAATTGACACATAAGTTTGTTACTTCATTTATATAAAAATGGATTAATTGTACCATGAGTTACTCTATCTAACCAAATCTCTCTCCATGGAACAAGATAAATTTACCGGGTACGTTTATATATTTGCTCACATGTTTTCAAAAGTGATTGGTTTTGTTCTAAGAATGTGCTTTTAATAAAGGGATAAATAACTTATGTAGAATTCCAGCTTCCAACAGCTCCCGTAGCTCAGTTGGTTAGAGCGTTGGTCTTATGAGCCGAAGGTCGCGGGTTCGAGCCCCGCCGGGAGCAGATTTTGAACTTTTTGTTTTTTTGTTTTTTTTTTCAGAAACAGCAGCATACTTGCTCTAACATTTTAATATGTATTTTATTTTGCCCAGAATTAAAAGTGGCTGCAGATTTCATTCGCATTTACTAATGGCGTCGATTTGCATTGGACTTTATATGTACAAAATGGCTTCCTGTTTTAATCCTGCGTGATTAAGTTAGGCCTTGTTTGGTTTCTACATGCGCTCCTAAAATTCCTGTCACATCGAATATTTAGATATATGCATAGAGTATTAAATATAGACTAATTACACAACTTGAGACTAATTTACGAGACCAATCTTTTAAGCCTAATTAGTTCATGATTTGACAACGTTGTGCTACAGTAAATATGTGCTGATGACAGATTAGTTAGGCTTAAAAAATCGTCTCGTAAATTAGCCTCCATCTATGTAATTGGTTTTGTAATTAATCTATATTTAATGCTCTTTATTAGTATCTAAATATTCGATGTGACATGAATTTTAGAAACAACTAAAGAACCAAACACCCCTTTACTTTAGAGCATTCCCGTTTTTTTTTCAGAAACTGCATACTTGCTCTAATATTTTAATATGTGTTTTTTTTTCAGAAACAGCATACTTGCTCTAACATTTTAATATGTATTTTATTTTGCCCAGAATTAGAAGTGGCTACAGATTTCATTCTCATTTACTAATGGTGTCGGTTTGAAATTGACTTTATTCGTACAAAATGGCTTCCTGTTTTGATCCTGCGTGATTAAGTTACTTTAGAGCATTCCCGGCTATGGTCTGTTTTTGAACTTTTTATTTTATTTTTTTTCCAGAAACACCCTACTTAGCTCTAACATTTCAATAATTTTATTTTTTAAAACATTTTTTTAAATTTGAATGTGTTTTATTTTGCCCAGAATTAGAAGTGGCTGCAGATTTCATTCGCATTTACTAATGATGTCGGTTTGAAATTGACTTTATATGTACAAAATGCTTCCTGTTTTGATCGTGCGTGATTAAGTTACTTTAGAGCATTTCCGGCTCTGAGGTCTGTTTTGCCGCAGTATCCGAATGAGTTAAATATAGTGAAATAAAAAAATCTGAAGAAATATAATACTTATTCAAACATAAAACCTGTATTTAAAAAATAATGTGTTTTATTAAACATAGGACCACATTTTAAAAAAAACATGAGCCCTTTTACAATGGTTGAAAATGCTTCCTAACGCTGGCTGACGCTTCCTCATGCCTACCCAAAATAGTTATTTTTATTGATTTTATTCGTTCAAGGGCATTATGGTCATTTCATAAAGCCAACCCACACCCCTGGCCGCCCACCTCCCAGCCCGTCCATGCACACCGACGAGAAGGGAAACGTACTTGCCTGCCCGACATCCGCCTCCCCACAACACCGGGCGCCCATATTATCCGCTTCTCACGCTGCACCGTCGTCGCCGGGCCTAACTTTGTTTTAGCGCTGCTCCTCCTCCCTCCTCCCGCCGCCGCCGCGCACCGGCACCTGACCTCCGCTGTTGTCCTCCTGATCAGGACCCCGCCTCCACCGACACTGCCCTATCGCCTCCTCCCATCCGGTATAACTCTATGCACTTCCCCATAGGCCATAGCACGTCCATACACGCTTATGTTGTTGCCCATCTCTAACAAGATCGAAATTTAGTCAGCTGCTGCCTCAACTATGGTAATGTCACTGTCTTCTGGAGGCAATTTGTTCTAGGGTTATGGATCTAGAGGATTCTTGTTCTAATTGGAATTAGAAACTCGTGTATCTGAAAATGTTTGATTTCTATTTAATTAATTTCCTAGATCTTTAATCTGTATCCTTTTAATTGCCCAATGCTTCCTTATTTTAGGCAAATAGTTAATTGTAGTGAACATCAGACTGAGGTATACTACAATTATTATGAATTCTTTTTACTACTTAGTTATTATCCAATTTGTTTTAGGTTGTCATGCCTATTGGTTAAATTGATTGCAGCTAGCAGATGGAGTACCTAGTTTTCTGAAAAATTAATCGCTTGCAGTGGGGAGAATTACTAAAGTTGGTATCTTTAGTTAGGATTTTTGGGAAAAATATACATATGAGTGCCTCTAAATTATATAGTGTTAAAAAGCTGAAAACTGGTTCTTAGTTCATAGTTCAGTGACTGTTTAAACTGCAACAAAAAAAATTTAGAATTTATCCTGGTTAAGAACTTGCTTGATGTTCAGAGTTAAACGTGAATGTACACTGGATTTTGGTTGCCAATGTTATTTTTCATATAGTCGTATGGATTTGTTGCTTTAAATGTTGAAAGTAAAAAAACAGTGCTGCTTGATAGGTTGCATAATACATGTTCTTATGGAATGTTCATTATTTTTCTTTTACTGCTAAAAGATGATCCAATTATTTTTTCCTGCTCAACGTAATAATGCCTCAGTTTCATTAGTGTTTTTTCCTTGTTCAGAGCAGTATGGGGAAGGGAAAAACAGAGAGTATTGTCACCAGACACCTTTGGGTGATAAACTGATATACAAAAGGTGAGGTCATTATTATCTGGTGGTATATGCAGAATATGAGATAGGACCCTACACAATTGTGATTTAGTATTGTGACACATTGCAAATTCATTATCAGTTTTTCTTAGAAAAAATGCAAAGCATACTATGATACTAATACTAACATTTGAAAAGTCTGAGTTGGTGGTGCTTTATTTTTATAGTATTCATGCTTCGACTTAACATTATCAGTTTTTCATAGAATTCATGCTTCGACTTGACTTGATTTTTTTCATTTCAGAACTAATATAGGTGGTATGGCAAATCAGTGTAGCAATAGTCTGTGATCATGTGTGTCACCAGTGAATCACGCCTAGACGACTCTGCGCGTCCTTTTGTCGTCTCCCGACTGATCGTTCTCCATCACCTGCTCGCCGCCGTGAAGCCACAGTCGGTCTCCATCATCTGTCACCGGCTTTCATTTGCCTCTCCACACTTCACTGCAGAGGTTTTCAAGTTCTTGCTGAGGTTGTTGATCTAGTTTCTTCAGTTACATTGCGTCGTAATAATGTAATGCAGAAAACAAGGTGTGACCTCTGTGAGAGGCTTGTGACAAAGAGGTCACCTTGGGGTTCTTGTAGAATTGTACGCACTGGAGATTTACCAGTTGCTGGTGTTCTCCCATGCTCCCATGTCTACCATGCTGAGTGTTTAGAGTGGACCACTCCCAAGGGGCAAAAGCATGACCCTCCTTGCCCTGTGTGCGAGAAGCTGGCTGGTAAAGATACCGAGCAATGGTCAATTTGCAGGTTAAAAAATGGATTCCGAAGATAACGTTCACTAGGGGAAGGGCCTTCTCGAGTTTGGAGCTGTGCTTATGCTGGAGATTGTGTTGCTGGGGCTGTCCAGATGCCAAGATCAAATAGCATTGCGCTATTGACTCGGAGTGGTCACAAGAGGCATGCATCTTCAAAGAGAGAGCCCAGCAAAGACTGGGCTGAAACATCAAAAAATACTTGCATGTAACTTCCTAATGCACTCAGTAGGTTATATTCATGACCTCGCATTGTTATAGTTGCAAGGTTATGTATGATTGTCCCAACAGCCCTACGGCCCTACTTTGTATGATTGTAACGTTGTTAATGTTGAGACGAGATTTGACACTGCAATGAGACATCGATAAGCAGAATCTGTTGGCTGTAACATTGAACTTGGTCGCTACTCTGTATGATCTGTAAACCAAAACGTAAATTAGATCATGCTAGAAAAGCAATTTTTCATGTGCTCGTGAAACCTTTCCCAGGAGGTGTTGACATTGCTTTGGTTGGCTCTGAATGGAATCTCGAGTTTTTTAAAGTGTGAACTCGAGTGTTTCTTATTTTTAAGTTCTGGCTTTTTATTAGCAATTAGTAGTGTAACTCAAAACAATTAGCATGGATTATGGATGAGGAAAAGATTGTGGAGGGTGAAAAATAAATACAATACATAGAATTTGGATATGAACGGTGATAGCCTCACTAGCGGCAGATATAAATTTTTTTTAAATAAATGGTGGCAAAAAAAATTGTTGCCACGAGCCAGCGTCAGCTAGGTCGGGCTCGACCACGGAGGGAGCCCAACCAGGCCGCGCCAGCCCGATTGGCCCAAGTGACGAGTGAGAGTAGGTACTGTATAGTTTAGGAGTTCAATCCCTGCTTCTTCTTCTGTTCTTTTAAGCTGCGTTCTTCGCTGCTCAGCGAGCGAGGTGGGACTAAACCAGGTGCAGATGGCTGACTGTCGTATTCACGTGGCTTAGTTGGGCCACCACCTCGTGATGGGCAGGCCCAGCCGCCGCCCGCTCCCCCTCCTCGATTCATCGCGTGCGCGCGCAGGCCGATAGGCCCAGCAACCGCGGCCGGGCGCACGCGTCAGCGACCCGGCCCCTTCCCCGCTGCGCCGCATCGACCGGGCGAATCCACCGCCGACCGATTCCCGCACACGCGCCCCTCGAGGTTCCCCGCGCCCGTGCATATGAAGATTAGGCCCAGAGCACCGCGCCGCACCCTTTGAACCCTACAGGAGTCGCCCCGAGCCCTAGCCCTAGAACGCGCACCGCCATAGCCGCCGCCCGGAGCTCTACCCGCCGCCGCCGCTGATCTCCGCCTTCACCTCGTCACCGGCGTCTAGAACCCTCCACGACCTTCGCAGCGAGGAGAGCAATCCGTCGGTGCCATTCGTGTATCTCTTATGTAGATATTGTTGGTTTGGTTGATGGAAATCGACAAGGATTTCAGTTGCAAATGCAGTTGTTCTTCACTGTTTCTTTCAATTTAAGTATTCAGAATTGCATACACTGCAGAGGCAGGAGCAAACGTAAACTCATTTCAGATAAACACGTACCATACTACTCTAATCCAAAGTCTACTGCAAAAACTACTCACACAATTGGTAGATGGCCACACTTATTGGTAGATGGAATATATATTCCTTTCTAGCAGCGTTGTTTTACCAGACAATGCTAGTACTGGTTTTCTACTACCTGCAATCAAATGAGCACACCCTGAAAAGGGATTTATCTGCTAAATCACCTGTAAATAAAAAAATCTCTAGTAACATAACATCAAAAAATCAAAAACTACTATCAGAAACATTTTGAGACAAGCTTCTTCAAATGTGCCCCAGTGATTTCTTTATTTTTCATAGTTGACAAGTTCGTTGTTTCTTCATATTCAATGCCACATCATTAGCATTCAATCATAGAATTTTTGCAAAGCCTAAATGCATATCCCATAGAAGATCTAAAAGATTTAGAAATAAACACCACAACCACATTGCTAAATAATGGGCATACGTAAATGACACAGATGAAGAGGTACAACACCTATGTCTAACAAGTTTATTTTATTACTGTTGGGCAAGTTTAAGTACTAATAATATCAACAGATACGTTGACTCTCTATCGTAATGTTTATTGTCATTGAGAATGGTCAAACAAAACTAGCAATATGATTTCAGGTTTCATAACTTTACACTATAAAATTCAATTACAGCATTAGCTTTGCAGCATAGGTGCCTGATTCCAAATTTTATCTTGTCTTGGTAGATGGCCACACTTATTGGAACAAAGTGTGATACTCTGGTCCTTGGGGAATGATTAAAAATGGCAGCATATCCTTAAGAGCGGATAAACCCTTTTTTAGCCTAGTAGATATTGTATGAACAGTAGGGCTGTTAGTCCGGGTGGTTCCTTGAGCCAGCCCTCAAACCAGCATCCCGGGTTCAATCCCCGGCCTTGGCACTGGGAGGCTCCTCCGTTGGCTTTCCTTGCGAAAAAAAAGATATTTATGAACATGAATGCGGTTGATGCCACAATAATATAGTAATATGTGTGAATGGGAAAGGAAAACAAGAGTTGTCATACTGTAGTCCCGAATATTTTTTGACATTACCGTACGGATGCTTGCTGCTGCTGGTTATAATTTTTTTTTCCAGTACTTTGTTTGCTATATTTAGGCACTTCACCATCAGCGCTACTTGGTAGAGCAACTGAATGACTTGTATGCGAAAATGTAGCATGAAATCGTACCTTTACAGAACTATTCCTTCAGACTTTTCTCAAATGTTGTTGATTGATGCAGGAGGAAATGCCGGATCTTGATTTTTTGCTGGAGTACAATGAAATTGTTAGGAAAAAATTTGGTAGTGAAACAGAAGGATATTTGCTTTATAACAAATACGCAAAGGGAAAATGATTTAGTGTTAGGAAAAGCTATTGTGAGTGGGGCAACGGCCACAATGAGAGGATCCTTCGGAAGTTTGTTTGCAGTTGTGAAGGTTTCCGCGAAGAGAAGGAGCTGAAGAGGGAGATTAAGAAGCGAAAGCCACGGAATATTACTCGTGTTGGATGCCCTGCTAAATTTGTGATTGCATGGGAACAGCACGCAGGGCAGTGGTATGTGAAGGATTTCATCTATGAACACAACCATCCAATGGCGGAACGAGACCTTGCTTGTCTTCTGCGTTCACATAGAAGAATTAGCGATGAGCAAAAAACTGATATTGTGGCAATGCAGATTTCTAGGATCCGCAAACACCAGATAATGGATATTATGGAAATACAGTACAGTAGGTATGATAAGGTTGGATTCACAACAAGGGACTTGTATAATTTCTGCCATCGCAATAAGGTGGAGACAGTTGCTGCTGGTGATGCTCAAACAGTCATTAGTTATCTGACAGAGTGCAGACGTAGGGATCCTGATTTCTTCTTTGACTACAAGACTGATGGGAAAGGGCGCCTCAAGGGACTGCTCTGGTGTGATAGTCAATGTCGGCTTGATTATGCAGCATTTGGTGATGTCATCGTATTTGATAGCACGTATAAAACGAATCGGTACAACCTGCCCCTTGTTCCTTTTGTTAGGGTGAATCACCATGGCAGCACAGTTCTTTTTGCATGTGGAATTATTTCGCAGGAGATAATTGAGTCATATGTGTGGATTCTTAGCACATTCTCTGATGCCATGGTTCATAAGCATCCTATTTCCGTGACCACTGATGGAGACCTTGCTATGCAGAGAGCAATCAGGCTGGTGTGGCCGAATTCATCGCATAGGCTATGCATATGGCATATTGAGCAGAACATTGTGCGTAATCTTCACGATGATGGTGTGAAGGCTGATTTTAGGTATTTCCTTTATGATTGTTGCTCCATAGAAGAGATTGAGAGGAAATGGCTGGAATTCTTGGATAAGCATAACGTTACAGATAAGGAGTCATGGCTGTATCAGATGTATGAGAGGAGGAAAATCTGGTGTGCTGCGTACCATGCTGATAAGTGCTATTTAGGACTAAGGAGCAACTAGCGGAGTGAGAGCCTGAACTCTAGGCTTTAGGTAAATCTAGATCATAAAATGACATTGTTCGAGCTGGTTGAGCACTTTGACCACTGCCTTTCGTGGCTGCACAGTAATGAAGCGAATCTGGACTTTGAAGCATCGAATTATTTGCCATGCTTAGAACCAGATGCTTCAATTATTGAGAAAGAGGCTACGAAATCGTTCACACCAAGAATTTTTGCCAAGGTGTAGTTCAGCATAAAAGTAGCCAAAAAGTTTTTTGCGAGAGAGATTCTAGATGACTATGATGCGATTAAGTATATTATTGGCAGGGAGAATAAAGGAGACAGAGAATACTATGTTGAATGTGAGATATGTGTTGATGAAGGCAATCTGAAGGGAATTTCTTGTTCTTGTCTTAAGTTGAAGTCCCTTGGAACCCCCTGCTCACACATCTTCTTTGTATTGGGATATCGCAAAGAACGCGAGCTTCCAAGCTGCTGTGTTTTGAAAAGGTGGACAAGGGGGGGGCCAAGAGTGCATTTCCTCCTATAAGGAAGAGCACCATGTATGACTATTCCGATAGCCTACAGAGGTACCATGAGCTACGCAATATCAGTCACACTGCATCCTTTTTAGCATCTCGTTCACCTGAAGCATATGAGCGGCTGAAACGTGTTCTGCATGAGGAAGCTGCTATGATCCTGCCAAACGGAGGAGAGAACGGAAACAAGAGGTATGGTCCGGTGCTGCCGCAATGCATGGATGTTGATTCTGCAGAGTCCAGAAATGTCTTGGATCCCATGCATGTTCCTGGCAGAGGGGCCCCGAAGAAAAAGTTGAAGTCAGTTTCAAATAAGAAGAGATCTAAGGTAAAATGTACCCTGTATAAGGGTGAGGGTCACAATCGGCGAACATGCTCCATGAGAGAAGATGTAGTTAAGAGTAATGTTCATCAAAGCTAACAACTGCCTGTCTGTGAGGATTGTCTAGTTATGGCTAATGTTATTCTTCATTTGTAGGAAACAAAGCTCCCTGAAGATGTGCTGGATATATGATTTGCCAAGGATCCGCTTGCTGTTGCACAATAGGTACGCTACAGCATATCAGTCAATTAAGCATTTCTTCTGTGTCAAATACCTTTGGCCTAACCCTGTTCTAAACATTGCTACTTTACTGTTGTGTTACAAACGTAGTTCAAAGAATGATAGAATAGAACTGACCCTGTGGTGGCTTCTCTCAGGCATACACCGAGATGATAGCAGAAAGAAGAAGAAAGGTAGCCAGTGGAGCTGAAGATTCCTACGGGATGGAGAAACTCCAGTGAGGATCTCCGGCACCGCTGCTATAGAGTGCAGAACTCTGTTGTTTCTAGTATTTCCTTGCTGAGAGTGATAGTTAGAAATGACCTCAGGCTGTGGCACATAGCACGTTTTGTCTGTAAATGTATTCGTCAGAAATTGCAACTACATCATGGAATCATGCTGCTTGGTTTGTTCATATCGTCGGCTTTGTGTTCGTGTTGATGTGTTGCTGATCCGGGCCAATTTGACCCTAAAATTATTATCTGTCTAAATTACTTACTGTAATTAGTGCATTATCATTTAGTTTTGAAGGAGTATGTCTGGTTTCATGATCAAAGGATTGCACTGTCATATTTCTGATGGTAAGTATGGTTTCCGTACTGAATTATTATCTGTCATGTATTTGAATTCAGTGACTGTCTTTTTCCCTACCTTATTAACTTTGCTAGTAAATGCATGGTTTTGGTATGTGATGCTTCTAACAAGGCAATATCGTTTCCCTGCTTGTTGCTGGCTTGCTGCAGACAATTACCGCACAGCAGGAGGAGAACGGTGCTGGGAGGACACCACATCGCGAAGAGGCCATGTGGGCAGTGGACAGAGGCAGTGTGATTTTGCTTAGTAGGTAAATAAGCAATCTGTACACAATCAGTACTTGTGAGCATTCCCTATACTTTGTTTTTCCCAAATTGTAGGAGGCACTGAAGGGCAATCGATTCAGTGAACCAGAAAGGCCAAGTTGAAAAGCCTACAGGGAGGAATCAATGTACTTTTGCAAAATAGATGATAGTCAGTGCAAATGGAAATGGAGTTGATGTGTCAATGCTTGAGATAGCAAATGGAGTTTTCAGGTAAATTTCTTCTCATATCATTTACATATTCTCTATGCAGATTTTGAAATAGGTGATGTAATTCTTGGCTGAACATGGAACTTACGCAGCAATGTCTTTAGATAGCAATGTTCATTGGAATATTTTTCGTGGAGCAGGTTCCCTCTGAACTCTGATGGACAGCGAGATGGTCAGATGGACACACAACACAACTGTGCCGCTGCGACAATTTTCTCTGATGGACAGCGAGATGTACTTCATTCAGTAATTGTGGTAAAAAACAAATCTTTCCTCATTGTAGGCCTAACTGTCCATGATTGAGTGATGCAGATTTCAGTGCATGCCTGCCAAGTCAACTTTGATGCTTGTGCGTGCAGATGAAACAAGAACTGTTGTGGTGTGGCTGACAATTCGTCAGAAAACATTCAGATAGATAACATTCAGGGATAGGAGCACATTCAGGCAAATGCAGAAAACATTCTGATAGATTTTCATTCAGATAACATTCAGGCCAATGCAGATAGCATTCAGATAGATTTTCATTTTAGAAAAAAAATCAGATAGCCTCTCTCTCAGATCAGTACTTCGCATCCTGACTTGACTTGGGCACTCTACCAATTTATGGGCCATTCTTCATACCGCAGCTCCAGCAGGTTTCCATCTATCATGGACCTCTGTACTACCGGAAACATGCAAGGCGTCCTGGTTGCTGATATACTGGGATCATGTCTCCACCCTTGGATGTGTCGATTGCCTCCAACATGGATACCACCTCAGCCATGGGTTCGCGTCCCAGCAATGCTAAAGAGCTTGGACAGCAACGTGGTATCTCTGCAAGAGAAAACCAAAGGATTGAGGTGACTTTTGCAAACTAAAATATGAAATCTAGGCCAAGAGATATTTTTCCCATGATGTAATGAGCTAGGAAAGTGAATTTAGCGCTAACTGATGGGTTGTCTAAGAGAAACCTTAATCTCTACAATGTACTTGTAACCCTGCGAGGCAATGCCAATACCATCGCAAAAACCTGAACACCGTGCAAGGCAGCCAAGAAACAAATGATGAACTTATGATTGCAACATCTGTGCTAGTGGCACTGCAGAGATACTGAATTCTTGTTGCGAAACTAACAACCAAAACATGATCTACTAAATGAGAGTTAAAAAGATCACAACAGGATGGCAATTATGTACCCCCACATAGTTGGTTCATGATCCACTGGAGGAACTGAGCCGATTGAAACAGGTAAGATCGTTCAATAAAAGAGGAGTGTGAGATCACGAGTAGCAAGACCTTGGCTTTGGAGATGACCTTGACCGCCAGGACCTGGCCTCTCATGTCTCCCTTGAGGCCGCGCACGAGGCAGGTGTGGCCAAAATGGCCGCAGCCTACCTCCTTGCCCAGCTCGTACTTGGCGGTGAAGTGGCGGTCGTAGCCGAAGCTTTTGTCAAGCTCCCGCTCCACCTGACCGGCGCCGCCGGAGCCTCCGGCCCCGTGCTCCGGGATCGGGACCTCGACGGGCGGCCTGGGCACCTACGACGCGGAGGCCGGCGAGCGACGGCCGAGCCGGCGAGCGAGGGACTCCTTGATGTGCTTGGCCGGGGACGGCGGCGGGAATGGGCGGCGGAAGAACTGACACAGCGTGGACGCCGAGGTCGCCGGCGTCAGCGCGATGCTGCCGGGGAGCCTGAAGGGCTCCTGGCCCAGGGGCTGCCGGCCGCCGCAGACCATGCCGACGTCGCCCCGACCCTGCCCCCACGCAGAGTCCCCGCGGGAGACGGCCGCGCGCTCCGCCTCCCTCCTCTTCCGCCTCCCCCACCCCTCCTGATGCCGCATCCTCCGACCCGACCCTGAACACCGCCGAGACGGTGATGAGAACGACGGCGGACGGCGGCGGCACACAGACGGAGAATAGAGACAGCGGCGAATGAACCCTAACAAGATGAAAATATTCATCTTCATCTAATTATGTAAATCTCAATTATACTACTCAAAACATTGTTTTTACATTTATAGATTTACCATTTTACATTTAATTAAAAAAATAACTACAAAAAAGCAATTGCGACTCTTTTATTTGAAGTCCTAATACTCTAAACTTTGGAGACATAGGGAGGCGTTACGGTCATATGGGCCCACTGACCATAGACATATCTAACGTTTCCCGACGCTTCCTTCATTGACGCCTCTCAATGTCTTCCCTCTTATGGGCTCACCGATCATAGACACGGCCAACGCTTCCTGACGCCTCCCCAACTATAATAAAAAAATTCAAAAAACATATATATGTTTTATTTTGCCTGGAATTAGAATTGGGCAGATTTTGGATCTACTACAGAGTTATTTCTGGTGTGATTGGTACCTCGCATGAGTCAGGCTTGGCTGAACTCGCAGAGACGGTCCAACCAGAGCCTGGATAGGTGCATCCACATGCGTGTGTTTGGTTGTGCTCCCCGTTGAGCTAGGCGTAGCAGGTCTAGTGTTTGGTTGCATTGGATTGTGTCACTGTTACTCATAGATGGGCAGTCTTCGTACGCGCTCTCGCAGCGAGCGAGCCAAGCTCGAATAAACAGATTTCAAAAAAATTGTTCCTACAGAGTCAGGACAGAGGGTGGGGTTTGCATGCTAGGAGCCTAGCCCAATCACAAGCCCAGCCATCCAAAGACCCCAACGCTGCATGGACAGAGCTAGGTTAGGCCGAAACTAGGTAACTAATCACGCCTTCGTGTTGGTCAATTTCAGATTAATTTCATAGGTTCTCTCAATGCATCGTTTCATTTTTGCTGTTTCATAGACTATCCAAAACATTTAATTATTGCATGTAGGTGTGATCAAATATTTCTTCCTAGATTATGCAGTCACTTGCAAGTCCTAGCAGGGGGGTTGCGCGGCTGGGCGGTAGCGAGAAGGGCGGCACATGAGCACCGAGCAAGGAGAGGCACGCGATTAGGCAGAAAGGATGGAGATAGGTGGTCAAGTCAGGCCAAGGGGCATGCGATGGTTGTTGGACAACAAGGAGCGATTCGGGTAGCGGCTAAAGAAAGGAGATAAAGATAAGAGGATATATGACTGTCACGTGGATCCTACGTGATGGTGCCTAACAGATATATTATTTTACTAGCTCCTTGCCCGTGTGTTGCTACGGGTTATTCAAAATCCATGTCACCCCATGTATTACTAGTTCACACGTATGAAGCAACCATAGTAGTTCACAAAATTTTGTATCATAGCTTAGACGTTGGAGCACTTTCCAAATTTTTGTGTCATAAATTTGTTTTCTAATGATTCATTTTATACATTCATTCCTTTAGAAATAGAGCATAGAGATGAAGGTAAACTTTCGATGACACAGGTGGATGCCTTAGCTTTGTTGTCCTCTTAGAAGAAGCGGGCGTGATCATCAGGTTCAAAGTTTCACCAAAATTTTGCGAACTTCGAAAATTTCAGTGGCGATCGAAAGAAAAATCCAAAATTTTGTAATACACAAATACATGTGGATATATAACTTAGACTAATATTTTTTATTGTTTGTGTTGCATATTCTTCTACTCAATAGATGTGTAGTCATAAATCATGCTAATATTTATTTAGATCTATTTTTGGAAAAAAAAAATACTTTGTGTGCAAATCTCTAAAAGAAATTCAGCGAAATTTTGGCCGAATTACGTGAATTTTGATCATTTTGGGGGTGGCCAAAATTTTCTTATTAATACCGAAACTGAAAACATTGGTGATCATCGGTAATACAATAACAATGGGCATTAAAAGCACTTTGGGCGTGATTGGTTGGGAGCAGTGGCGGAGCTAGAGCAAATGCGAGGAGGGTGCGCTTGTCTTGTGGGTGTATGGGATTTTACCGTATGGATACGAATATGGTGAAAATTTGATCATAATCACTGTTTTTTTATATTTTTTGATGCGCCCACACACAGTACGTTGTATATAGATCCGCTCATGGTTGGGAGCATATAGCCCAACCAGAGCCAGAGAATGCAACATTTGTTTGTTTGGTTGCCTGTGAAAGAAGTGTAACCTAGCCTATAGATCCATAATGCAAAGGCAGCCTCCTGGCCTGGCTCGGTGAAAACGGATTTCATTTTTGTTTCCCACCAGCCTGGCTCGCAGTGCAGGGCGTGGACATTTGAGGTTTTTTTTTTTTACTTCACGAGCAGATGGAGACGGGCAACCAATCAACAGCTCATTGAAATCCGGCGCGACCACGCATGCTGCACGCGTCTAACGTGGCTCCACCTAGCCTGGCCCTAGTGCCCAACTTAGGTGGTATTTAGATCCAGCACCTAAAATTTAGGAGGTGTGTCGGAAGAATGTTGCATGAGCTATTCGGATACTAGCAAAAAAATAAATTACATAATCCGTCATTACTCCACGAGACGATTTTTTTAAGCCTAATTAATTCGTCATTTAGCATACGTTACTGTAGCACCACATTGTCAAATCATGGACTAATTAGGCTTAAAAGATTCGTCTCGTAAATTAGTCGCAAACTATACAATTAGTTTCGTAATTAGTCTATATTTAATACTTCATGCATATGTCCAAATATTCAATGGAACAGTAACTAAAATTTAGGAGGGGCAACCATACACCACCTTAGTCCAGCCAATGACGTCCTCGATGTCTATGCCTGTGCATTGTCACAAGTGCTGAAAATTTTCTAATATAATAAATTCAAATGTACATATGACTATGCAACAAAGTTCAGTATTCTATCCATTTTAGACACAGACATGAATTGAAGAACGAGATAGCTAGTTAACTGCAAATCAGACAACCAAAAGAGGATGTGCGTTTAAGAATCTTGCAGAAAAAGGAACGATAAAGAGAGTTATTGTGACGTGCTTAAATAACATAGCAACTTTAAGTATCTTCCAAAATAATATAGATCATGCTGCGGCAAAGGATTCTCTATCCCCTCTATGGAAGCACCAACAGTGCTTGATAATTCCACTTTGGATAGTGTTAGTTGAATATTGATATATTCAGGTGATGCTATATCAAGAATCAACTCAACCAAAAAAAATGTTCAACTTTATGATGGTCTTTTGTTACATGACCATCTAAAGCTTCCGTTTCTAAAAAAACATGTAATCAACTATCTTATATCAGATAGCAATCATACATGGCCCATAAACATGCGGTATTTTCAATTAAATTAATGGGAGATGTACTCGAGCAAATAGCCAAATAGACACCATGTTCGCTTATGCTGAAATTTGGCTTATGCTGATGTTTATGTTGAAATATTGTGAAAGAAAAATATTTTTCTATGGTTGAAAAGTAGTGCTGCCTTCGTGCCTCAGGGACGCCCTCTGCGTCATACTCTCCCCATCTGTTTGTCTGGCCTCCTCAGTCATGATGATGCGGAGGCAGGTAGTGGATGGAGTTCGCGCCGCTGCACGCAAGTCTCGGGGAAGACGGATGGCTGCCTTGCATAGTCCGGCACTGAGCAATAGGACTCCCTCGCTGGACGAGCTGTGTAGCCAGCAATAGACTCCCTCACTGGCTGGACATGCAACACACATGACTTCGTGCATTAGTTCCTCGCCGGTTATGCGTTCTCGAGATGCAGACACTGGCTTTTCACATCGACGACAAGGTTTAATTTGGTGCAAGCGTTGTCAACCCATAAAAAACAACAATAAATGCTAACAAAGACCGGGTTGTTGAGTTGTGATCCAAATTCAGTTATGTACAAGATAAAGGCTAACTCTTGCCGGAAGCGAAGCGAGGCCCGTCGCCGGGAGGCTTGGGCCAAAGCGGAGGCACCCCCGAGGTATGGATCGTCGCCTATTAGGGTTTTTCATCTCTATATATACCTCCTATAAGCCGTCGTCTTGGGATAAGAAAAGTTATAAATTCTCGACGTTTGTAACCTCACCCGATATAGTGAAGATTTGCTGGATGGTGCCCGTGGTTTTTTTCCTTCTTCTTTGGGAGGGTTTTCCACGTTAAAATCTCATGTCCCATGTGTTTGATCTACTGTTATTCATTGTTTATATTACCTATCATTTCTAACAAGTGGTACCAGAGCTTGGTTTCACATTAGGGTTTCATGATGGCATCGATGAAGTTTGATCTACCGCTACTGGATTACAAGACAAGATTTGCGCTGTGGCAAGTCAAGATGCGGGCGATTCTGGCACAATCTTTGGATCTTGATGAGGCGCTAGATAGTTTCAGAGGCAAAGGGCAGAAGTCATGGATCGCTGAAGAGAAGCGGAAGGATCGTAAGGCTCTATCTCTGATTCAACTTCATCTACATAATGATATTTTACAAGAAGTGCTGTAGGAGAAAACTGCAGCAGATCTTTGGCTTAAGCTGGAATCGATCTGCATGTCCAATGATCTAACCAGTAAGATGCACGTGAAGATGAAGTTGTTCACGCACAAGCTGCAAGAAGGTGGTTTGGTGATGAACCATTTATCGGTCTTTAAGGAGATCGTTGCCGACCTAGTCTCGATGGAGGTAAAATATGATGATGAAGATTTAGCTCTTCTACTGTTATGCTCACTGTCGAGTTTGTTTGTAAATTTCTGAGATACCATACTATTAAGCCATGATGAACTAACCCTTGCAAAAGTATATGAGGCCCTCCAGATGAGGGAGAAGATGAAAGGTATGGTTCAGTCTGACGTGTCATCCTCCAAGGGTGAAGTGTTGCAGGTTAGAGGCAGGCCCGAGCAGAAAACCTATAACAACAACAATAATCGAGACAAGAGCAAGAACGGTAAAGGCCGTTCAAAGTCTAGAGGTAGGGATAAGTTATGCAGGTATTGTAAGAAAGATACTCATGTCATTGAGGATTGTTGGAAGCTGCAGAATAAGGAGAAAAGAAACGGTATGTATACACCGATAAACAAATCCAATGGTGATGGTAAGGCCTCTGTTGTCTTCGTTGTTGATAATTCTGATTCAGGAGACGTTCTTGTTGTTTTTGCTGGTTGTGTTGCTGGTCGTGATGAATGGATACTTGATTCTGCATGCTCATTTCATATATGCTCTAACAGAGATTGGTTCAGTTCTTACGAGTCTGCGCAGAGTGGAGATGTCGTGTGTATGAAAGATAACAACCCATGTGAGATCGTGGGCATTGGCTCCATTCAGATCAAGATGCATGATGGCATGATCCGCACACTGAAAGATATGAGACACATACCAGGGATGGCCAGAAAATCTTATCTCCCTCATCACACTTGATGCCGAGGGGTACAGACACTCTGGTTTAGGTGGAGTGTGTAAGGTATCAAAAGGCTCTCTCATTCATATGATAGGTGATATAAATTCTGCAAAGTTATATGTTCTTAGAGGAAGTACTTTACATGGTTCCATCACTGCTGCTACTATTTCTAATGATGAACCAAGTAAAACTAATCTCTGGCATATGCGTCTTGGGCATATGAGTAAACTTGGTATGGCAGAATTGATCAAGAGAGACCTGCTAGATGGCTGTACTGTGGGTAAGATGAAGTTATGTGAGCACTGTGTTTTTGGTAAGCACAAGAGGGTAAAATTCAATGCATCTGTTCATATCACCAATGATACACTTGATTATATGCATGTTGATTTGTGGGGACCGTCTCATAAGCCCTCTTATGGTGGTGCTCGTTACATGCTTACCATTATTGATGATTACTCTAGAAAAGTGTGGTCTTATTTTCTGAAAAATAAAGATGATATTTTTGCTGCTTTTAAAAAGTGGAAAGTTATGATAGAAAGGCAAACTAAAAAGAAAGTAAATTTGCTTCGTACTGACAATGGTGGTGAATTCTATTTTGGATGCTTTTAATTATTACTATAGGGAAGAAGGCATTGTCAGACACCACACCATCCCGTACACTCCTCAACAGAATGGTGTGGCTGAGCTCATGAACCGAACCATCATCTCGAGGGCTCGTTGCATGCTATCTAATGCTCGTATGAATAGGCAGTTTTTAGGCTGAGGCTGCTAACACCGCATGTTACTTGATCAACCGGTCACCTTCTATCCCACTTAATAAGAAAACTCCCATTGAGGTATGGTTTAGTATGCCTTCTGATTATTCACAGTTGAGAGTTTTCGGTTGCACTGCTTATGCTCATATTGATAATGGAAAGCTAAAACCTAGAGCCATTAAGTGTCTGTTTCTTGGTTATGTTCTGGAGTTAAAGGATATAAGTTATGGAATCCTAAAACTAAAAAGACTTTCATGAGCAGGAGCGTTGTTTTTAATGAATCTGTTATGTTTAATGACAGCTTGTCCACATATGTTTCTCCAGTTGGTTCTGATGAGGAGCAGCAACATGTTAGCGTGCAGGTGGAGCACGAGATGATCAGGAAACTGAAATTGTTGATAACAATGTTTATGATATTGTTCAGCACTCACCTCCTGTTTTGTAGCCTCAAAATTAGTCTATTGCAGATCGCAGAACAAAGAGGAATTGTGGACCTCGTCCACGTTTAATTGAGGAATGCGGTATGGTTCATTATGCCTTTAGTTGTGCTAAACAGGTGAAGAACATTCATGAGCCGGCTATGTACACTGAAGCTGTTGTTTCTGGTGATCGCGAGAAGTGGATTTCTGCTATGCAAGAGAAGATGCAGTCACTCGAGAAAAATGGCACATGGTATGTTGTGCGCTTGCCTAAACAAAAGAAGGTCGTTCGTTGCAAATGGATCTTAAGAGAAAGGAGGGTTTATCTCCCAATGAGCCTCCAAAATTTAAGACAAGGTTAGTAGCAAATGGTTTTAATCAGATTTCTAGTGTTGATTATAATGATGTGTTCTCTCCAGTTATAAAGCATAGTTCAATTCGTATATTTTCACTCCAAACTATCACATCGAATCTTATGGCACATGCATAGAGTATTAAATATAGACGAAAAAAACTAATTACACAGTTTGATTGGAAATCACAAGACGAATATTTTAAGACTAATTAGTCCATGATTAGCCATAAGTGCTACAATAATTAACATGCGTTAATGATGGATTAATTAGACTTAATAAATTCGTCTCGCAGTTTCCAGACGAGCTATGTAATTAGTTTTTTTATTAGTATCCGAAAACTCCTTCTAATATTCCCGAAACATGCGATGTAAAGCGAAAAATTTTGATTTCGCGAACTGAAACACAGCCAAACAAAAATCTCGCGGAGAATAGCTGATGTACCTGTCCCACGTCATTGTTGTATTTTGTCTCGAGATATTTTCGAGGACAAGAAAGGCGCTTTCCACACTCGCCGAATCCGCCTTCATCGCAACTCGCGACGACCCAGCCATACAATCCATCCATCACTCGCGGACCGACTCGCCTCGAGCGGTTCCAATTCCAATTCCAACTGCACACTCCCCTTTTCCACTCCGTCCCGGCGACCCGACACCCCGGAGCGGCCGAGGCCTCGCTCACCGACATGTGGGCCCTCAACAACGCCAAGGCCGGCGGACCCTGCCTCACGCCGCGGCACCCCGCGCCGCCCTCCCTCGCGTCGCCGTCTACGGCGGCGGCCGGGCGGAGGTTCTGGAGGCGTAGCCCCGTGTGGGCGCCCCTGGTGGCGGTGCGCGCGACGGGGGGCACGAGGAAGGACGGCCCCGGCGGTGGCGAGGCCAGCAGCGGCGAGGAAGCCGATAGCAAGGCGTCGTCTTCCGGTTAGGCCCTTCTCGTGTGCATCTGATGCCTTCGAATCGCTGGGCTATAGGATGTTTGGGCGATTCGCATCGCATGTGCAGTATCCCAGGTCGCAGCCTTTTCGTGGATCCGGTTCGTTACCTTTTGATCGGATGCGATTTGGAGTTGGGGCGCCGTGCTTTTCGTGAGACTGGCGAGACCCAGATAGTCAGATGTTGATCTTGCTCCGCACTTAGCTGATATGATTTTGTTGATTGTGAATTGTGATATACTGTGTTTTTACGTTTTGTTGGTATACAAACTACATTAGGCTTGTATGATTTAAGTATGTACAGAACATGTGATCAATCCAGCGTGATGGCCACATTAGAAGTGCTTTGGTATTTTGGTGTACCCTTCCACATAACTACACTGAAGAGCATCAACTAGGACGGCCTTGGTTCTGCTCAATTGATGGTTTTTGTTCATGCAGGGCACGATGATGCATCCACCCCAACCGGGGATACCTCTGCTGGGTTGAACCAACCCCATGACGAGATGAAAACAAGCAAGCCGATTAATGTTTCTAGCAGCAACTACTGGCGAGATTTCAGGGCAAACCTTGTGCGTCGGGAACAGGTGAGCCTGGTCTGTTCTTAGTTACAATCTGTTGTGTTGGTAGATTTTCCCAATGGTTGAAATGGATGTCAAGAGATGCAAATGTATTTTGTTCATGGAGGCATTTATCATTTCAATCCTTGCTATCTGCCTAAAAATTGGTAACAACATGCTGTTCTGAGTATTGCTAGTATCACCAATTGTATTAGTACTCCTACTTGGGTTCATAACTACTGTGCTACTATGGTCCACCCTCCATTTAAGCTATAAGTGCATAACATCATTATGGCTTGCATTGGTAAATTGCTCAGGGATATTATACTACTTCAAGTTTCAACAGGGTATTAGCTTGTCATGTACTAGTAGGAAATGGTAGTTGGTCGAGGCAAGCATTTTTTGTTAAGCTTAAACTCTAGTGCCCCTGTGCCATCTGGGGCCTGTCTCAGACTGGCGATATAAATGGTCATGCAATTTTTGTTCTTCTTCTTAACACAAAACACAATCTTCTTTTGAAAAAAGAAGTTTCGGCAGGGTGGTCCTAGAATTAGGACTTTCAATGGTGCACCATAGAATGGCTATCAAATGAATCATTCTGAATAACCTATCTGGGGGGAAAAGGAGCACAAACAGTGGATTTTCCATTCTTGAAAAAATTGTTGCTATATCATTATTCATTATATCAAGGCTGTACCAAGCCATTGTTTTGCATCCCATTAGATTTATTTGTATGTTGTTGTAGGTTACTCCCTCTGTCCCTTTTAATCTGTCGTTCTCACTTCCCGAGAAGTAAAACATACTTAACTTTCACTAAATATATAAAAGAAAATATTAATATTTATAGTACATAATTAGTACCATTAGATAGATCGTTGAATCTATTTTCATAATAAATTTATTTGGAGATACAAATGTTGCTAATATTTTCTGTAAATGTAGTCAAACTTGAGAAATTTTGACTAGCACGAATCCCACGGCGACACTTTAATAGGGACGGAGGGAGTAGTTTTCATTGTTTAATAAAATTGTTGTTGTAGAGAATTTCCATTCTTTGCAGCAAGCCAATTGTCACCAACTGGTCAGCACAGCCCTATACCTTCTTGTTTTTCATATCTGCTTCTGTCTTTGAATCAGGAGCTATTAGTGGATCCAAGTACTCCCACAGAGTCAAAGGCCTCCTCAGGTGATCCATTACAGCTCCCTCAAAAGTGGGCTCATGCTATTACAATGCCAGAGGCAGGATGTGTTTTGGTTGCTACTGAAGCGCTTGATGATGATAGCATCTTTGAAAGAACCGTCATCTTCATCCTTAGACTTGGTTCAAGGGGTACATTTGATGGCCCGCTCGGAGTTATCCTGAATCGTCCACTTTACACAAAGATCAAGCACGTGAATCCAACGTTCCAAGACCAGGCAACCCCTTTCGGTGATTCCCCGCTCTTCTTCGGAGGCCCTGTCGACATGAGCATGTTCCTGGTGAGGACCGACGACAGCTCGCGTCTCAAGGGGTTTGAAGAAGTCATACCAGGCATCTGCTACGGCTTCCGGACTGACCTTGAGAAGGCCGCCGTACTGATGAAAAGCGGTGCGATCAGGACCCAGGACCTGAGGTTCTACGTCGGGCACGCTGCCTGGGACTATGAGCAGCTGTTGGGTGAGATCAGGGCGGGATACTGGGCTGTCGCTTCTTGCAGCGCGGAGCTGATCAGCGATGCCTTGACAGGCGATCCTTCTTGCCTCTGGACCGAGATACTGCAGCTGATGGGAGGCCAGTACTCTGATCTCAGCGAGAAACCGAAGCAGGACAGCTCGTAGGTATTTTGCTTATTTGAGATGTAATAATTTGTTGTGGTCAGGTCAGGTCTGTACATAATTGGAATAGGGTGACTCGCTTGTAACCCCTAGCTTCATGTAACAACTGTTATGCGTTGATTATACTGAAATAGGCTCTATATAATGGCTGCCTGCCTATGGATTTCAGCAATTGCTGAATATGAAGATAAGCGCTTTTGATGAATCACACATGACACATCATAAGGGTTTCTGTATTGAACTATGCAAAGTGCATTCGCTGCATTTCATAATACTTGTGCATCAAGGCCATATTAGTACACATGTATTCTATATATAATATGTTCCCCGGCTTCACTGGCGTGAACATATTGGTCTTTTGGAGAATACCATTTTGACAGCTACTTGTTGCAGCATATAGCCATTTCTCACTAAATCTGTCATTACTCATTAGGTATGTTCATGCAGCATGCCAATTCACTCTTTTCTTTTTTGCATCAAGGGTTGAACGGAATCTGCAGAGTTGAGGAGTGTACGCTATAGTAGTGCGTGGGTAGGCATAGGTGCCTCCAAACTCCAAAGCAATCTTGGATGCTGTTGAATGATGAATCTACTGCGACTGCCGACTGGCGGTACCCACCCGCTGAAACTTGAAAGTTGCTAGCTCCTGCCTCCTGGTTGAATTGAAAGTGAAACCGGTCAAGGCTGCCGAACCCATGGATTCTGGAACATTCTTGATTCTTCTACTCCGTCAAACGGAAGAAGTAGCGTCTTCTGGCGGCTAGCTATTACTAGTAGTAGAACAGGAGAGGAGTGCAGGACCAGAGATTCCACCGAGCTCAAAAGAAATTGCGCTACCTTTTGGCACAACTGAAGTGATGATCCGAACCTAGTCGTCCCAAAAACCTTCCGCATCTGATTCACGGACTTGCCACTTGCCCATTCCTGATGACGAGCGGCGACCGGGCCATCATCAGAATAAAAAATAAAAAGTATAGGAGCGACGACCAAAATTGTCGAGCTGAGCGGCTGACCGCCGGCGACAGCGAAGCGCGCCTGTTCGTTTGTGCTGGTTTGACTTATAAGCCATAAAAAGTACTGTTGACTGGTTTGGTGTAAAAAAAAAATATTATTCGTTTACTTAATAAGTCAAATCTTATAAGCTAAATACGACCAAGTGGTGAAGATTCACGTCCGTCGGTACATACTCGTAATTGGAATAGGCTGATTCGCATGTTACTCCAGTTTGACGTGGCAACTGTTATGCAATGGTTGGCTGCTTGTGGATGTCAGCAATTGCCGAATGTGAAATACTAGCATTTCCACCTGAGCACTTTCAGATAGATAGATGGATTAAATTAAACAGCGCGTTCCCTGCATTCCAGAATTCGTGCGTCAAGGAATGCGTCTCCGAAATTCAGAGCTGTATTGTCCATTTGTCCAAGGCAGTGTGTTGGGATGTTGGATGCTGTTGCATCTCCTGAGTCCTGTGTCTGTGTGTGGTAGCCGGTTTCTCCTGGAGCACGCGGACCGGACCCATGGGTCTGCCTGTCGAATCGAACATTCCACTCCACCGAGCTCAGAATCATCGCGCTGCCTTTTTGGACGGTCCGAGAGAGAGCCCACTACTACTCAAAGAAAGCCTCCTTCTGCCTTCTGATTCATGAACGACATTACAGATGCATGAGATGACTCGCGTCGACCGAGCTATATGCTCCGTTTGTTGGGCTGATAAATCATGACTGAAAGTATCGTTGGCTAATTTACTGTGAGAGAAAAATATTATCCGTTAACTAAAAAAATACGGCTTAACATAAGCCACTGGCGTGAACATAGATGAGAATACCATTTTGAATGCAGACGATAGCCATCTAAACAAGGTAAGAGCTAAGGATGGAATCGCAGGTCGGGTTCGGATCGGGTGGAGTCTCCGCACCCTGTTGAAAAACCGAAACCGAAATCAAAACTCGAATCCGCCCCGAAAACCGATTCGGTGGAAATCCATAACCAAAACCAAACCTTCTGGCGGATACCCGAAACCCGAGCGGATACACGAAACCCGAATGGATACCGAAACCAGCGGATATATATACACATATTCACATGTATAAATAAGAGGCAACAAATAATAAATATTTTCATGAGTCAACTTTAAATAAATTTAATAATCTAAGTAAACAAATTATTATTAGTATATTATAAAACATGAGTTTTAATTCCAAATGATTTATTTGGATATCCATTGGATATCCATGGTTGGCTGTGTGAAAACCAAACCCGAATGTGAAATTTCCACCGAACCCGATTGGTTTAAACAGCGGGCCCCATTTCAAGGAAAACGTGGGTGTATTGTCCAAAAACCATCCCCAAACCGAACCCGCAGAACTCCTGAAACCGGACCGGATATCCGCTTCAAACCCGATCAGAATCATTGCCATCCTTAGTAAGAGCGACTCCTCGAAAGGCTGAGGCATGAACGAACGACGACGCATGAGATGACTCGCGTCCTATTTAGGGTGATATTAAAGCCGGTGATGAAAAACCAAATTGAAACTATTTTATTATAAAAAAAAATCAGATATATTACAAGTGATAAAGCGAGACCGATAATTTCGAGCGAACAGACCTTAAGTTTGACTGCTGCTACTACAGACTACGAGTACACAAGTGAGTGATCCAGGCCCTGTGGAGTGGACCCCACCTAGTCCCGCACGTGCGCATGGACGGGACGGCGCACCGAAACGTGAGCAGTCAGCCTCCAACTCCAAGCGCCCACAGGCCACGTCCCTCTTCCTGTTCAAGTCAAGGAGTCAAATTGCAAGCCGTCATCTATCCAGAACCTTCTGTTACAGTTACAGTAGCCTTTGTATTTGGTGGAATTCTTCTTTGTTTGAAAAGACATATTCGATAACTTTTAAATAGTAATAATAGGAATCTTGCTTCCTATAAATCCCACCGAAATGGTACATGTAATCTTGATCTATACTGCCTAATAACAATCAAATCAAGATCTCTATGTCGTCTACGCTAATATCCCCATAAACAAGCGGCTGCTCACTGCCGGCGCTGGAGGAGGTTCTGCTGGCGCTCGCGCTCGCGCTCGGCGTGGACCAATACGCACTACTGGTGCTGCTGCTAGCACCGTCGCTATACGGCGGCGGCGGCAGCAGCAGCGGCGCGCACGCTGCTGCGCCTTGCACCGTCGCGCCACCGCCCCCCTGCGCGACGCCGCCAATACCAAAAGCGAACGCGGCGGGCTGGACGGGCGTCGGCTGCGCGGCGAGAGCCGCCGCCCTCGCGTCGACGATCTGCGCGTCGGCGGCCATGCCTGCGTCGGACGCAACGCACTGCACGGAGCGCGGCGACAGCGGCGGCGCGCGCGCGTGCCCGCCGTAGGCGGCGTAGTAGCAGGCGGCGCGGTCGGGGAAGTTGAGGTGGCATTGCGCCAGCCGGCCGCCGCGGAGGAGGCACGCGGCGGCGTCGTGCGCGACGGCGGCGGCCTCCGGCGCGGCGTAGGAGCCCAGCCACAGGCGCTCCCGCGTGCCGGGCACCCGGATCTCCGACACCCACTTGCCCCACGCCCGCCGCCGCACGCCCCTGTACCGGCACCGGTGCCACTCCGCACCTCTCCCGGTCCCGGCGCCGCCGCTCGCCGCGCGGCTCATCGTCGACCGACCGACCGACCGACCGGACAGGAGCTGGGCTGGGCTGGGCGGCGGCAGCCGTGTCTGTCTGTCCTCGATCGCCTTGGCGGGGCGCTCCGTCGATCTATCTCGGTCGGCTGAGGCGGTTGGTTATGCTGGTGGCTTCTGGCCGTTTGGGATGGAGCACACGACGACACGAGCGACGTGAGCGTATTTATAAGGTGTGATGAGATGAGGAGAAGCATATCAAGTCAGCGCGGGCGGGGCGTTGACATAATCGGCGTGTGTAAAATACGGGCGGATTGACCTCAACTTCATTCTCCGGGTCCGGGTGGATAATAAAATAACGATGAGGCACGGGCAAACCATGCACGTGAGGGCACTACCGCGCTGGCCAAGTCAGACGAGAACGAGACGACAGCTTTTGGTTCTGAGATGGATGGATGGATGGATCGTGGTGGTCATGGTCGTGGTCCAAACGGGGTTGGTTAGTGCCATGATCCTTTGTTCCGCGACGGTGACGGCCGGGTCTCGTCTCTGATTCTTGGGCCCATGCACGGTCAAAGTTTCCACTGGTCGGTCAGAGCTCAGCTCAGCACGACAGCACCCTCGTGCCGTTTCCCGTGGTTGTGAATGGTCCCTGCCCCGAAAACCTTGCCCCTTGCTTTTGCTTTGCGGTGTGCCTGCCCGAGAAGCCAAAGGACGGGGAAGCGTGCATCGTAGTCACTCACCTCTGCGGTCTCACAGCGACAGCCGACAGCAGCCGTGCTAGCGCAAGCGCTTACGCAAGCTGCGCGTGCTACCTCTCTCATGTGCGGTTTACGTTTACCGGGCGTATCGTATGTGGCGGCTAAACTGAGACTGAAGGCGGTGACTAGTGAACATCACTGTTGGATGGCTTCTAGTACAAGTTCTAGACTGTGGGCTTAATTACTAGAAGGTAGTTGACGCCATATCATTAATCTACGCGCATCTCTAGTGCTTCGGTTTCAGTCGACTCGGAATGGACAAGGTTTTAGTGAACTCTATTAATAAGGAGGGTGTTGACAGCAAAAAAAAAATGGTTAAAATGTATAAAGGACTTCATCACAATGTTTATGGTGGCGGGGCGATTAAGAAAAGTATTTGGATCATTATATTTGGAGCTCGGACGAAGAAAAGAATGTTTTGGGGTCCTGTCAGTGTTACGTAGACCGACTAGTGAATTTATACGAATGTCGCGCTGCTCCAAGAAGATGATTGTAGCATCCAAAAGACACGAGGAATTGTATTGGTTCAAGCCGGAGCCCTACGTCCAGTCTCAGAGATGATCGAGTGTGTGTTTCTCGCTTGAATACTCTGAAGTTCTTACAATGAGGATGCAAGCATGGTGGAAGAGGTAGGAGAGATAGAGCTCGGAGACGGACTACCCGAATGAGAGCTTCGAGAGTCCGGAGATGTCTGGGAAGGGTGTCCTGGCTACCCTTATATAGAGTTCGGGGCAAGGTCACATACAAAGAAGAAGGTTCTCCCGACCGAGGGGTCGTGAGCCTAAGGGCGGGGTCTGGCTAACTTGCCTTGCAAGTAACGCCGTCTTGTCGTATACGTTCGGGCGTGGTTGTCGTCATGGTCTTGTGCCCACGTCGCGGCATATGGTGTGGCGTGGTGCTACAGTGCCGGTTGTGGCGGCACTGTGGGCACGGTGGTGTTTCGCCAGCCGTCCTACGCGACATGGTCTCGCCGTGGCCTTCGTCATCGCCTCATGATCTCTCGGGGCGTCGTACAGGAGTTGGTAGCCGCCCCCAAGGCGTTGATCGTCCTGCTACTCGTTGTGCCGGCGGCCATGATCCCGTGCCCCGGGGTCGTGGCCCTCGTTGGCTTAGTTGGCCTCGAAAGTCAAGGCCGTCATCGTGGCTCCCCATCCCGTAGTGGGTGGGGTCGTACGTCTGTCTTGTCAGGCCGTATTTAGACGGTGGGCCGCCGTACTGGCCGCCATTGCTCGGCGGTGTTGTCTTGTCTGCACTGCGTGGCACAGAGATGACGTCTGACCAGGCTGTCCCCTTAGTCCTTGTGGGGTCAGTGCGGCGTGCTTGCTCTTGTCAGAGTTGGCACGCTTGGCGGGGTTTGATCTCTCCCTGCCCCTCCCAGAGGTCGGGATGGAGGAGAGGTCATGAGGAGTTGCATAGTGTGCGGTGAAGGCCGAGGGGAGAGGTTGTAGCCGACCCCTACCTTAGCGTTTGGCCCAGGTCCGTTTAGCTTAGCTGGGCCTTGGGCTTATACTAGCTGGAGTACCGTGGGCTGCCCGAACGGCCAACTAATCGGTGTCGTGATATCCGGGGTTTCATAACCCCGACAGGTCCAATCTACCAAAACCGGCCTACCTAGATTCCCACACCGGCTAGGTTGGTTTCTCTGTTATACGCCCGGCGTGGCTGACCCCGCCTAAGGAAACTTTCAGAACTAGCTAGGCTGATTTTTTCTGCGAACCGGTTAAGGGTCTAAATTGTTTTTTGGCTCGTGTTTTGACGTGGGAAACTTGTAAAACACGCTTTAGATATGTTTTCTACTAGGATAAGATCAACCCCTCAATATATATATGAGGATCACGACCGATTGATAAATTCAATGCCCAATCAATTAAAAATACATCTATTACTTCTTTTATTACCCTACTACCTTTTTTGCAACCCTGCTATTCGGCGTGTCTCTCGACAAGACGACTTTGTGGCGTTTTAGGTGGTAATGTAACTCTAGGACAACCTCGGTGTCCATCTCCTTGATGGGTCTTCCCATGAGGTGTTCTCGAACTCTATCGGCGAAGAACAAGTTTCAAATCGGTTCAGTACTTGTCGAGTTTGAAGTTTTTCGTTGTGTGTGGATCGTGTGTAACCTCGGATGTGTTAGCCCTTGTTGATGTGTGATCCGAGGTCTAATTCAGCGTCAACGGAGGAGCTGACACGATTCAAGGGGAATTTTTCACACAATTCAATTTGGTTAGAGGACCACGAGTATAACAATGATATTGGTAGCAAACCGGAAACATTCAGTAATGCCTTATTTGGATGTTATCGAATTCATCTCAATTCATACTCTAATCCAACTCAACACATGTAAATTAATGCGTCCGATTATATCAAATAAGACCTAACATGCGAACGAAAACATAAACACAAGTCACGGGTGAAGGAGCTCCGGTGGTGTCGAAGCAAACACACGACGGAAGAAAGCGCGCAAAGGCCAGAAATCAACGATCTAGAAAGATTGACGCGTATGCTTTAAAAAAAAGGTAATGATGGACACAAAAGTAAATACCGTCACGTGGACTAGTGCAACATCACGTTTATATTTTATCTTCTCTCTGATCGCTTTTCTTATAATCCGTTTTTAGCTTATTTTTTCATCGAGAACCGTATTTTGGCTCGTTTTTTCAGCGAAACGAACGGGGCCATAGAATTTGTTGATATTTTTAAGAAAATGCCGCTTTCGATCAAAGTATGCTCACGTGAATGAGACTAAAGTGAATTATGATAGCCAGAAATGCATTCCGCTTTTATCCTCGAAAAACAAGGGGACCGTGAGGGCTCATGCTGGTTTTGACGCTCGTTGAACGTTTGTAAAGGTCTGCTGTGACATGAAGAAATGCACGAAAACCATTAATCACATGGCAAATTGATCGATCTGAGTGGACCGAACTGCTGATTGTTGACTTGACGCCCAACCTCAGACAGTCACCCTTTTGACTCCTTTTTAGACATTATTTGCCACCTTTTTTTTTCTAGGAAGGCTATATTGTGTATGTAACCTACCCTTATAAACACTTCTGAGAAAAACTGATCTGGCAGATTTTAATTAAGAATGATTAAATATCTTTTGTGAATGACAATATAGATATATAGACGCTCATATACATATATGCACACTAGTCCATATAAATACACGTACACATTATACTTCTATGCGCACTTCCGAGAGATTGAGCTAGTAGATCTCAAGATTGACAAAATAATTACAGACGTCCGTGTGTTGTCGAGGAGCATGTCGTCTATCACTAAAAGAATAGTGGCATTAAATAGTAAAATAAACCTAGCAAAAATGTGAGCAACAATATCAATTGGGGATTTAAACCAATAGATCTCAAGATTGACTTCATCATAGACATCTAATTGTCGAGGGACCATATCAATTCAATGACTTAAATTTAGACGGCCAGTTTTCGCCACTAGAAACCTAAACAATTGAGCTGCATTCAGCTCGTTAGCCAGCTCTTATTTATATTTACATAGATGCTTGACCATAATATACCAGGCAAGGCAACACCAAAAGAGGTAAATACATCGGTCCAGCTAGACACCTAATAAATATAGGGTATGTTTGGTGGAGCTTTGAGAGTAGCTTAATTACAATCAGCCGACAAACGGTTTTATACCAAAAAGTGATTCTACGCTGATTCTGTAAAGTGGTTCTCTAAAATGACTAAAGAGCTACAAGATAAAAAGTACATCTTCTGATTCATCATAAAAGTCACCGTATGACTAGTGTTTATTCTAGAAAATTATAAAAAAAATATCAGTAAAAAAATACTTCTCTCATAAAATCAACTTCTATGGAAAATTGAAGCAAGAGAAACTTTACCAAAGATATCCACAGTATAGGAACCGGATATGAGATGTGAACGATGCTGTGTTGTGTCGCATTGCCCCTCAGCCTCGCGACGGGGGCTGAGGCCGAGGAGGCGACGAGCGCCCACACGTCGCGTACGACACAAGTGGCGGTGCGCGCTGTCAAAGAATTGAAATCAAACGCGACCGACCATACATGTTGATGTTGTCGCCGTGTACGTACTCGGCCTATACGTCGGCCATACATGGACATGTGGGACATTTGGTACCACTCCTAATAATAATTAATATACTCATTGTTGACTCCTTGTTAATGTTAATTAAGAGTAGTACGTGATTGCGGCAGCATATGGGAATGCCTCATTGTTGACTCGTACTCGTATATTATATATATATTTTTAGCAGAACTCGTACTCGTATATG